GTTTGTGTCACACACACACACACACACACACACACACACACACACACACACACACAAGCTTATCTCACGATGAGAATCTAAATCTAAAAACAAAGATTTGGGTTGTTTGATCTGAGAGTAAATGAAAGTAAATAAAACTGAAGACATCATCTATTCCTAAAATATTCCCTTTTATCCTTTATAATTCAGCTTTAACCACTTGATGTAAAGTGATGTAACTCCAATAATATAGAAGAAAAACAAACATACAAAATAAATAAATAAATGTTAAAAAGGTATTTTTAAGATACCTAGGACTATTTAGAATATCATATTCAGAACCGTGACATCACACAGAAGTAATTTAGAAAACAATACTGTAATAACCAAACAAGACTATCTCAAATCAAATGTTTTGTAGATCATTTCAATATCTTTTTGGTTTTCTATAAAACGATTGAGTCGAGAGTTTGAAAATCCCTCATTCACATGGTTAGAACCTTCAGCATTTGACTAACAGCAGTGGCCTCATTTGCATGCTGAATTCTGATTGGTGATATTTCTTGAATGTATTTGCATACTGATCTGTGATTGGTCTGGAGTGTCTTATATGTGCTGCACCATCACAGGAGCGCAGAAGTGCTGTGTTCATTCTTTTGTACAGACTAAAACCTGACTAAAACCTTCATTTATGAATTAATTCATTCAGAAAATGATATCTAGCTGCACTATGAAGTTTTAAAGAAAAATAAAGCTTACTGGAGCTTACTTTAATTAATTTTTTTAAGGGAGTAGTTATTGAGAATGAATTTTCCTGAATGTTTGGTTTGACTGATTCCAATCTAAACAAGCTATTTTTTACCTTCGTTCAGGAGAAACATTTAAAGAACAATTTGAAGAAGACTAGAGACAAAAAAAAAACCTTTAAAAGAACAGTAAAAAAAAATAATTTTTGTTTTAGGTATAATCAGATTTAACTCACTTCCAAAGACTATTTTCTCAGCAAAGTATATCTAAATTCACACACACACAAACTAGTTGGAGAGGTTGGTTAGGTTAGTTGTACCTTGTGGTCCCCCATACACACGTTGGGTCCGATGTTGTCGTATGTTATTGATTTCTCCTCATTCTCTGGCTGCAAAACACAAACACGCACAAAATATGATTACAGACACAGAGCAAATGCATGCATGATGCTAAAATCCTAAGAAGAGCTTTTATATGGTTACATTTAAGTGCCAATAAATCAAAGTTCAGGAGCTTTTTCATATCTGAAATGCAGCGAAAGCATTAATCATATTTATCTAAATTGAAAATAATGCTCTGAATCGAGCGAGACAGAAATGATGCAGTGCTCTTTAGAAAGCGAGAAACAGTTGTGGTTGCTACAAAGTGGTTGCCGAGCAACACAGAAACGTAAACAAAGGTGTATGTTTGTAAATTTACAACAGCTTCGAACGCGCCTCAGCCAATCAGAATCAAGCACCGGAACTATCGGTTTTTATAATACTACTTTTACATTTTTAAAATGATAATTATCTGAAATTGTATTGATTTTACTTTTTATTTAATTGATTTCTTCCCTTCTCTTGTTTTAAGCTTGTTTGTTGCTTGCGATGTTTTATGCAGATGCTCGATGTTTCTTTAATAAGGAGCTGGTTTGTGAGCGAAGCTCATACATTCATCAAACGCAGGCTGGATCATTTACAAAGGCAGCATAAAATTGTGGATTTTCGGCCTGCGTAATCTTTAGACAGATAAACAAATTACGGCAGGGGCCGGGGCCGCGCTTGACTGGCTCTTCATTACGTTACCGTGGACCTTTGGCGTGTTAGGGCTCGGCGAGCAGAAAATAACACGACGCGGAGCTAACAGAGCGCAGCATGATAGATGAGGCTGTTTACACAATCTGCCTCGTCTCACACAGCGCTTCTCGCAGAACACAAACCGTGAGCGCATCTCCATTAACCACTGGCCTCAGCAACATCACTAGTACTACTAGAGCTCAAACACTAACTAGAACTCAATTTAAGAGCATGTGAAGAAAACCTAACACAATGCTCTCTCAAAATGTTGAAAACATCAGTGCAATATGTTGATTTTCTTTATTTACTGTGTTTCTGTGGATCCTAAAAAGGTCTTAAAAAGTGCAAATGTCAATATATTTGCAATGCTTCAATACTTCATAATTAATTTTACAAACAAAATAGGCTTGAATAGCTGTTCTGAGCCACTTGAATACAGGAAAAACGTATTGATCACACTGCAAAAAAAGGATTTTCTTACTTAGTATTTTTTGTCTTGTTTTCTAATATCTAAACATTCTTGAATTGGGATGCATTTACTTGACAAGTTAAATGATTTAAGATATTAAGTCTTGTTTTCTAAAAAAAATAAATAAATAAAAAACATTTTGTTTTGATTTGAAACAAGCAAAAATATCTGCCAGTGGGGTAAGAAAAATAATCTTAATTCAAAGCTAAACAAGATGATTTTTCTTGCTCCACTGGCAGATATTTAGCAAAAACTAACAAAAGTTTGATTTTTTTTTCAGAAAACAAGACTTTAATATCTCAAGTCATTTTTCTTGTAAAGCAAATTAATCTCTAGTGAAGAATTTGTATATATTTATACTAGAAAACAAGACAAAAATACAGCAGTGTGCAAAAAAAGTGACGCTCTTCCTCAAGATTTTTGTGTTGTTTTTCAATACAAATGTCTAAAGATTCTTAAATTAAGATACATTTACTTGAGATATAAAATGACAGAAGATATGAGTCTATGATTAAAAACAAAAACTTAATTCAAAGGGAAACAAGTTTTCATTTCCCACTGGCAGATAGATATTTGTTCTGGTTTTAATCATAAACTCACTTCATTTTGTTGATTTTTTCACAAAACAATGAGACTTTGTATCTTCATTTGTATCTCCAGTAAATGTATCTTGATTTAAGGATGTTCAGATGTTTGTGCTGGAATATGAAACACAAATACTGCTGTTCATGCAACATTTTAATGCTTTCTGCTCTAAATTAAGATATTTTTAAGGCCTTAATTTGTGGAAGAGTGAATCAGGAATTTTTAAGACCTTTTTAGGATCCACAAAAACCCAGTAAATACAAAAAATAAAAAAATCAACATATTGCACTGGCGTTTTCTTTCTTTCTGTCCATATATATATATATATATATATTATAAATGAAGCAAAAGACACAAAGCACTCCTGAAACCTAAAAATAAAGAGCTGAAGAAAAGGACTGTAACATCAGAAACCATTTCTATATTTCAGCACTGGATTTCTGGACTTCAGTTTAGTTTAATCAAGAAGAAAAGCAGCAGAGATCAGATTTAAATCAAACAGTGAACATTTATGAAGCATGCATTTTTTTTATTTCATAACGTTCACTTATAATTCCAATAAGATTTTGACATCACAAACCGTCATAATTTAGAAATAAATCTAAATTTTCCAGCCTGATTTAAACAGTTCATTTAAGGGGCGTGTCCCCTTTAAGACACATGAACGCCCCCTGCTGTGATTGGCTAATATATTTGCATATGAAATAAGCTTTAATTATGTGGAACTGTGAGAATAATGGAAAATGTGGATTACAGTATTATATTTCAATGCAGTCCATCAGATGTGGTTTTGAATGCAGCATTTATTTCTATAGCGCTTTATATAATACAGATTGTTTCAAAGCAGCTTCACTGGAAAATAACAATGCTATAAAATGCATCAATTAATAAATAAACTCAGTTTCAGCTGTAAAGAAGCTCTCTCTTTGTTATCATGAAGAAATGTGATTTCTCAATGCATCAGATTAATATCACTCACGCTCACAATCTGACAGAAACAATGAAGCGTTTGTGGTTTAATCATCTCACCTTTACGAGCAGGTCTTTGGCCGAGGCGGACATAAGGATCCGGTCACACCAGGCGGGACATCGAGTGTTCATGTACTGCTTTCCCTGACTGGAGTCTTCACTGTACGGATAACTGCACAAACACACACCACAAGCTGAATAAATAAGCTTTCCATTGATGTATGGTTTGTTATGATAGAACAATATTTGGCTGAGATACAACTATTTGAAAATCTGGAATCTGAGGTTGCAAAAAAATCTAAATATTGAGAAAATCATCTTTAAAGTTGTTCAAATGAAGTTCTTAGCAATGCATATTACTAATCTGGAAGAACTGGTTGTGATTGGTCAGTGCTGTCAATTTGTGCTCTATAATCACTGAATTATAAATGCATTTTAACTTTGCAGTGTAAAACAGGCAGAGCAGTCTTGTAAAACACAGGACCAATCAGCAGTCAGATCTGATTTATATTTCTGAGGCTCTGAGGAGCAGATGGTACACGATACAGACACAAAGGACATCAGATCGAGGCGTCCAGATAACAGCACTATGATGTTAATGATGGACTTCCTACATGTGACACTGTGAGATCACAATCAGACCGTGAATGAAGTGTGTGCATTTATGGAGTCTATTGTGTCCTATCATAACAAAAACTAAAACCAGCAGCAGAAATCACTCGGTTTATCTCACTAAAACAGCTCAGGTTCACTCTGCACATCAGAACTACATTTTTTTTAATTTTGCATTCTGAAAATGAAGCTTATTTTCATTAAGATTTTGTGATTGTGATGATGATTTGTGAAATTTTTTTCATTACAATTAAAATTGTAAAAAAAAAAAAAAAAAAAAAAAAACATTTAATGAAAATAATCTTGTCCAGACATTTACTATTATTATTTAATCTACATAAAATAAATGAAATACAACAAAACGGTGATGAATACTTTTAATAGTGTTTTAAAATGCACACTGAATAATATAATTTAAATATATATTATCCAAATAATATATTTTCTTCACATCGAGATGTTTTTGCAAAAACTATTATTTCTAATTTTAATAGTGTTTTAAAATGTACTTTAAATAATATAATTTAAATATATATTTTTAAATAAAATGCACTTTAATAATGTCCTCATAAGTCACCTTCTCCTTGTAATACCCATGTCATACCCATGTCATTATACGAATTTGTGTCCTCATATGTCACAAAAACGTGCGCGCACACACACACTCTCTCACACTCACACACACACAGGCTCCGCTCAATTGGCCATGAAAGCGGCTCATCATGATCGGCTCATTTAGTGGAATCAGCTAATCAAACACCATCAGCATCGGCCGCTTCTGCGCCCAACTGACCGTCGCCATGACGACCGGGTCAAGGGTCGAACGGGCCGGTTAGCGGGGGTTAAAGAGGGGAGGGGGACTAGTTAAACCACATCCGGCTAACACACAGGCCCCCGACCGAGTGGCCAAACAAGAGCCGCGAGGGGCCTTTGCAGAACGCCTGAGCGCAATTAGCATTGATGGCTCTTTAAGCATTTGGAAATGAAGGGCAGTTTTGGTATGCTAACGATAGATGAGTCTGAAGATGAAAGACAGGAGGAAGAATGATAGCAGAGGATAGAGAGCGGGATAATGAGGGATAGAGATGCAGAGTGTGGGAATTAAGGGGCGGGAGAAGCTCTTTCTTCAGGGTGGCCCACACAAACCCTAGAGGAAGTTTTAGCTGTGCTCCTTCAGCTGGATTAAACACATCTGATCTGCTAAAGAGCCGAGCCAATCTTTGAAATTGATCTGTGATGCTCGGAGGCAGGAGGAAGGTGTCTGTATCCAGAGCAAACCAGCCTTCACACTCAACACTCACAGATTCATATTCTCTGTTCAAACCGGATTCAGACACTCTACATATAACAAGTTTAAAGTCTCTTCTGCTCACCAAGGCTGTATTTATTTGATCAAGAACACTGTAAAAATTGTGAAATATTTTTACAATTTAAAATAGCTGTTTTCTATATGAATTGCAATATATAATGTTGGAATTGCAAGATAAAAAGTCGGAATTGTGAGATATAAACTTCCAATTTTGAGAAAAAACTTGGAATTGTGAGATATAAAGTCAGAATTGCAAGATTAAAAGTTAGAATTGCAAGATTAGATTAGGCGTTTGGTCTCATTCTGTATCACGTATCTTGTCAGTGTCTGCGCTCGCTTGGCCATTTGTTGTGGAAAAAAAATAAGGAAAGTGTGTCCAGCTGAATTAATTTAGTATTTTGTTAGACGGGTATAAATAAAGCTTAGTTTACCGCGACAGCGGTCTCGGCAGCCGTCGTGTGCAGACCGAAGAGTGTAAAGACCATCGACTCTACCGTGTGACTCCACCGGGCAGGACACCAGCAAAGGATAAGTATCGCTTTTTATTTCTCCTCTTTCCTACTACTTGTTTCACTTCTGTTTCAGTTTTTATAACCATTTCGTACTATGTGTAAGTTTTTTTAGCATGTAAGTTTGGCAGTGTTATTATTTAGGATTACTGATAAACCACTGTCGTTTGATTTGCATTATTTGTATTTGTTATTTATTTTAATTTTAGTTAAATTATGTCTGAATTTATTATGTCTGTATAGGTATTTTATTAAGTTTTAGTTTTATTTAATTTGAGTTATTTTAATACTTCAACAAACTAAATGGAAATGAAATAATATATATATTGAATTTATAAATGTATATATATATATATATGTATGTATGTGTGTGTGGTTGTACATACACATATATGTAGTTGTTTTTTTTGTGTTTGGCTTAGTGTTATGTTAGAATCAATATTATACTCATACCTTTTGTTCTTTAATATACTGAATTGTTTTTAGCTTTATTTTTTGTTTTTCATTTAAATGTTAAGTTTTGAAATTTTGTTGTATGGATGTGTCATTTTTATTTAATCTCTTTATTT